AACGCGAAGCGACACGCAACGGGGAAAAATTTCAACATGGGATAGGTTAATATATTTTTTCGTACGCAATCCGTTATCCGAAACATCGGTTTTCCGAACAACCCCAGCCCCCAATTGATTCGGATAATCGACGCTCTACTGTATTAAGAATAATTAGATATTTTATTCGTTATATCATACAATAATTAAACAAATAACATTATACTAGTCACTAGTCTATTCAATGCAGTACGAATTTGGCGTTAGCCTTGGCCCTGGACATCAGAATTTTGAAGTGAAGGGGCGATACTACGTTGAAGGGGGGGACGATTCGTTAGAGGTTGAGAAACACTGGTCTATCGAAAACTTGTCAGAAATGTGATCGTACTTCAGACGTTTTCCACCAGGTGTCATCTTATCGGAAAGTCCGTTTTGGGCGCGTTTGGAAATTCTAACCGGTGTTACCAGTAACTGCTGGTAATTACCGAAGCGTTTAGAAAATCTAACCTGAATAATCAACCGCGTTTAAAAATTACGGTTATGACGTCACCGGTTGTTTTGCGGTATTTACCAAAGTAACGCAGAACAACGGAAGAAACCACGGTGACAAAGCGGTTACAGCGGTTCTATTGAATTACAAGATGGGGGACACATTGTATCGTTGTGACAAATGTGGCCATGATTTTAAAAATTTAGAGGAAATAAAAACATTTTGTTTCCGAACATCAGCATTTTGTTTCTGCGGCACAAAGCAACCAAGATCAGAAAGCCATGTCGTCCCAAATTTCAAATGGAACAAGACAGCATGGTCAATGGTCAATGCTGTCTTGTACCATCTGAATTTCAAATGCTTTAAATTGTTCGTAGCAAATGCTAAGAAATTATTGATTTCACAGTATAAACTATGCCAGGGCTTCTTAAACTTTTTTATTCACGACCCCATTTATGACTGTGATTTTTCTCGCAACCCCAAAAAACATAAAATAAAGATATATACAAATTTGCAAAAACAATAATGGTGTACTACCACAGTTCACTCTTGTGTTACAATGAAACAGAGACAACTGAATACACTGAAAAGCGACAACACTATACTAGAGTACACTACAGTGTTGCTGAATCATTGTCTCGCTGCACCAGAAGTGACACAAAGCACAACTCACGAAACCTATAACACAAAGCATGCCATTTTCAAACTCTCACAAATTATTTTCAATATTTTGCATTAAAATCTCGCGACCCCAAGATTTCACTAAGCGACCCCAAATGGGGTCGCGACCCATAGTTTAAGAAGCCCTGAACTAAGCAAAGAACAATTTTTCCCAGATTTCTACAAGTTCATTTTCATCTTCTGATGAACTTTTTTTTAAAGAAGCGATAGGAATAGTGATTGAATTGTCGTAGTGCGACGATGATGTAACACTATTAGTGGCTCCAGAAAGCTGTTTATTTCCAAAAATTATGTATTATAACTTACAAACTAATCAAGTTGGAATAATTTACATATATATATTCTAAAATCCTGTGGCTTAAACGTATTTTATCAACACTATGTTCAGATTTAACTCTTACGGTTTTAAAGAGGCGAACTGCTTTATTATAAACAAAAAGCATTAAATGTTGTAATAAAATACAAATAAAATTTATATCCTGTGAAAGATAATTAAATATTTTTTATTTTATATATATATTTTATTGTGTTAACATTGAAACTTTCAACGTTATTGAGTGGTAAAGTTGGAGTTACGCACACTGGCTGAAAAACGTCACATAGTCTACTTTCTTAACGCAGATTTGTTAAGCAAATCTGCGAGTAGACTATTAATGCCCTCTTACACTCAAACATTTAAACATAAACAATTATTTAAGTTAAAATTATGTGTTTAATTTTTTAAAATTATTTTCATTGTACCAAGTGCAACGAAATAGCCTATAAATTGTCGTAAATTTAAATAAAATTATTAAAACATTAAATAGCGTAAATTCACGCTTATTTTGTTTACTTTTTTAGGAAATAATCTTTGTTCGAATCTGCTCCTCATAATTAATAGTGAATATAGGGTTTAGAATATAACGTACCGTACAGTACATAATTATTGTTTTTTGTTTGTTTGTTTCTATGAAATAAAATTAAATATGAAATATCTACATATATTCTCTCATCAATTTTTATTACAATTGAGATTTATTTAAACATGTTTATAAATAAAAAGTGTTCTTAGTTTTTTCAAGAAGGGAAAAATTACGCGTGACGTCAATAGATCATCAGAATTGACCCAACAATCACCTTGGTCCCGATTGCACTACTGAGTGGAAATTAGGCTGTCTGCTCTCTCGAGCAGCAGAAGTAGATTAGTGATGTCATTATTGTTTGTGTGCCGCGTGCCTCCTGCGACAGCACTGTGAAACAGCATAGTGCCACGCTACTTAGAGAACAGTTCCCACTCGTTCGGCCCCTGCGTTTCATATGATTAAATGCTTGAGATGACTCTGCACTGTTTAGCAGTGTTGTTGCAGTGTAGCCACGTAACATGAGAGAAACTGCGTCAGACAGAGGTGCAGAGTACTTTGTGATCTGTACAAATGTTAATATGAAAAGACAAAAATTTCGATTTTTGAATTATTTTAATTAAATTAAAAAAATATAAAATTTAAAAAATTTTATAAATACATTATAAATACCGGTATAGTTTCTTATATAAAGCTGTTGTTACTCAGCACCCCCACATTAGACAGCGACAAGCCTCCATCCAAGCCAAAGCAACTCTGGTTTGCGCCTCAACAAATGGTCGTTTTCGTCTGCGTACAACTTCGTGTGGCTCTAGGAAAACATTCATTTCCTTTCCAATGTAAATTTGGAATTGATTTATGGAAAAAAAGATGGAGGAAGCGAAGTGCTAGCCATCTCACCTTCTTTTCTTCTATTGATTTTACTTTGAAACTACCACATATGCATATAATACTATGTAATATTACGAATCATGCATCTATTACTTCTTTGCATCTTCGTGACATTATGGAAGAACGGCCGGATGGACGAGACGATTAAGACTAGGATACTCCGGGTTATCGAATCAGGCGAAAAACCCCAGGAATTACTCGTATTTAAAGACCTGTCCCGGATAAATATCTCACTATCTATTGTAAGTCTGGCTAAACCCACAATGTATGAAAAAATGCTCTCTTAGTCCCCACAGGATGGAAAGGATTTAAAAAAAAACATATAGAATTTCTTTACAATATAATATATGAATATCTATAAATTATTTATGAAACAATTCGTAAACATTTAATTTTAGATCTTTTGGTCTTAAAGTTTTCAAAAATGTTATCTTTTTTGAAGCCCATAAATATACCGTAATTTGATTAGATCTCTTGCATAGCGCTACTGTAAAATCTAGTATTATGTTTAAGCTCAATGAATTTGAAGATCTTTTCGATACTAACTTGTAAGTTTTTATAACTGTTTAAATATTTTAAAGTTATGATTTAGGATCGTTGTAAGAATAGCCGATTAAATCAGTTGCGTAATCATTATTATTAAGCTTAAAAGTTAAATATATCTCTTGCTAGAAAATCGAATTCCATATAAGGTGTGTCTACACAATTTTGGCGAGCATATTTGGTATTTTAAAAACATAAATTTAAGAATATGATAGCATAGATTGTTGCTCGGACTCCATAGATTTAAATTCATATTGCCACAGTAACAAGTATCCAAACGTTAACAAAATAGAGCAGCTTAATGAAGAGCCGAAAAAGAATTGTAAACGTACTTGGAGAGTTTTACAAGCAACACAGCATTGTAGAAAGGCTGGAAAGTTGTAAGATCGAAAGAGAATTTAAATGACAAATAGCAAAAGAGAATCATTGGAAAGAGAGGCTATCGGAAAAGTTGAACAGTCACTAAGAAAAATGGAAGAAAGTTTAAAATATCTCATCAGTATGTTAAAAACATACTAGTCGAATTAAAATTTTGTCCTTCGAAAGCTAAAGTCAGCCTCAAAATAAAATAAAAATCTCGAATCACAGAGGATCTGCTGCTAAAACTACGCGAGGGCGATTTCAAAGCTTCAAATGGACTGGACATTATTATGGACGATGTGTCGTATTTGGTGGAAGTGACTGCACTGGGAATAACACTTACTATAGTGAACTTGGGGTTGAGGTTGATCTGTGGGTAAAACTTAAATGCAATGCAAAATTACCTTAAAAAGTGTTGTTTTGAGCAGCAATCGGTCCAAAAAGAAGACATCAAGCACCCTCTCGTCTCTGCGTCAACAAAAATGAGTACACGAAGAAATTTATTAAGAAGGGGTTGACATCATTCCTCATGAGGCACCACTCGGATGGGCTATATGCCTTCTTGCTGGACTTTACAGTTGCAAATTACGCAACAGATACAGTTTTTGTGCTAGAGGAATATAGAGTCCGTTACGTCAGCAAACAGAGCGCTTTCGAACTCTAGTAGCTGGCGTCAAGACTAAAATCAAAAATGCCGCCAACTATGGACTACATTCCTTAATTTAGAGAGAAAAGGAACACATTTTGTCAATTTTGTGTTCCTGATTTTTGTGCATAAAATGTCACATATTTGTTCTAAATATTTCATTATTAATGTATTTTTAAACACCTTATGAGGCAACAAAGCTCAATAGAAAAATACTTAAATTATAAGGCGACTTATAAGTACTAAATATAGATTAATTAATTTTAAACATACAATAGATATACAGTATTTATAGAGAACTAAAAATATAACCAGTTCATTGTATTTCAGATTATAATGAATCAGTGTATTATACTTTATTAAAATTTAAAAATTAAAATGTGAGTCCCTGACATATTTTAATAAGAAAAATTTTAAAAATTTATTTATAACGACTATTTAAAAAAATATTATTATAAATTAAAAATATAAAATAAATGATATTTTAAATTTAGATTAAGAATTTGTTTAGAGATAACTCCTAATGACTTTTTAGGATAATTGTGATATATTTATTTTTAAATATTTGAATTACACATCATTAATATAATATTGGTCCACATCACCAGCAATATACAACAACAATACAATTAGACAATTACAGAATACTTAATCAGTTAGCAAATGAAATCCTTCAAAATTGCTACAATTTGCAGCTAAAGTGGGAAATATGTCGCGATTCCATCTTGTTTCACTCGAAAACAATTCGTGAGTTTTTCCTTCTGAGGAGAGAATAGAACTTTTTGCATGCTGAGTGTCACGGTGACGTCTCAAGTCCACTTTTCTCTGAAAAGCTCTTCCACAAGTATAGCATGCGAAAGGCTTAAACCCTGTATGTTTTCTAGTGTGAGTAATTAAATTTGAAGATTGGCTAAAAGCCTTGCCGCATACTACACATTTATGAGGTTTTTCTCCTGAAAGAAAAATAGTTTGTAGATAAAGGAATAATGACTATAAAGTTTTGCTCCTGTAAAGCTTGTTTAACTGCAATACTTGTAAATACTGATGAAAAGTCCTCAACTCTTATTTCAACTGAATATCTTTTTTTTATTTTAATTATATTTTTTTAATTAACATATTCTGATATATTTAATAATGACATTTATCTAAATTATTATAAGGTAATTGATTGTTAATTCTTATTTTAATTAACTTAAGCTGAGCAATTACAAAAAAATTGTTTTTTAAACTTTAAAGTTATTACAGTACTACTTTAATTATATTTTTCTAGTTTTAAATTTCAATAAAAAATTATTTATAAGAATTACATTCAATCTAATTAAATTATTCATTGAGTTAAGTAAATATTACCTGTGTGAATGTATGTGTGTTTCTTCATATCTGATTTCTGATGAAATCTCTTTCCACAATACTGGCAAGGATAGGGTCTGATATCAGAATGAATCAGCATATGAGTCGAAAGGGTAGAGGAACGCTTGAAAGTCTTACCGCATTGTTTACATAAATAACTTTTATCTGTCATAATCCTGGATTTCGCCATTTTGAAGCAATCGGTTATACTTGTTGCGTTTTGAGGGAGACATTGATCTTGATTAGCGTTTAACCTTCTAATTGGAGGCGATGGCATTTCTTGGCATGCAGAAGGGCAATGCTTAGATTGATGTATAAACGGACAAGGAAGAGCATAAAGTTGTTTTGAAAATTCGGTCTCTGAGCTATGGTAATTAATGTCCCACCATGGAGATCGATCCATAACTAAAGGTAGAATGTTCGATCGGACTGGAGAGAAAATTTCTGAAAAAATCAATAAACTTCATTTGCAGTTTTGTTTAAACTTTTCAAAGTTTGCTGTTTGATGCTGAAAAGTTGGCTACTGAATTTTTTATAATTGAAAAAGAATTTCATCAGAAGATTGTGTTTAGTATATTTAGATTTTGTTCGAAATAAATGTTGCATAAAAATTATTTTCAAGATCATTTTAATATTAAATAAAATATGAGAGTCTACTTTATGCTTCATTCTTTATTGCAAATATTCTAAATATAACTGTAATTAAAAACTAGTATAAAATTAAAAATATAATTTTTTTATTATAGTTTACCTCTGTATCAAATTAATTTCGCTAATTTATTAAATACAAATTAAATTTTCACATGTAATAGACATTTTTCACGATTATTTTGTTACTTAAAAATTAACATTATTCCAATCCAATCCAATCCAAATTACGCTTTATTTGTAATACGGCAATTGCCTGTTACAATGGGAGAACCATAAACTTAAATAATATAACATATTACATAGTATTATTACAATAATATTTTCCTTCTAAATATTTACAAAAGTTTTAACATAGTTGTATAAATTAACTATTAATCGAGTTGTTGCTCTATGGAATATATAGTACATTTCTTCCACCGATCTGCACTCACTTAAACTTAACAAATCAAATTTCCTTTTTAACTCATAGCTCTTTTCACATTGGCAAAACAAGTGATACTTTGAAAATTCCATATTACATCTAGGACATAAATTATCAGCATACGAGTAGAATTTATTATTTAACATTAATATTTCTGAATTTAGACGTATTTGAATAAAAAACCGTTTTATAACAAAAGGTAGATTCGATAGAATATAATTATTAATATTTGGATAGTTCAATAGTGAACCATACCAGTTTGGTTTTAAACGTGAACGGTTGTCTTCTATGTCATGTGATAATAGAATATCTAAAATGCTNAATGTAACCAGTTCTTCCTTTATTAACTGTAAGTCTGAGTTCAGTATTGTAAACTTTTCCTGAATCAAATGATAAACTGCTTTGATAGTATACGGCGTCTCTTCAGTAATGTGTTCTTCCACAACTGATGACGATGAAAAATAATCCTGAATATTAGAATCTCTTATCACACCTAATTTTCCTTTCGAGGAAGAATCTCCAGATTGGCCTTGTTCATCTTCTATAAATTCTAACAGTTCACCTCTATCTATATTACGAGTATTAACTTTCCGCGGTCTACCGCGTCCCCGTTTTTGCATATCTTCGTAGTCTATTTCCGGAGGGGATCTCGGAAAGGGACCTGGATTAGGCTCTATTCCTGCTATTATTAATAGACATATAATCAATTTCAAACATGCTCGATTCGTTATTATCTGAAACTCCAAAATACTCATTATCTGCCTCTAAAATCACCAGACACTCCAACGATACTTTGAAAGTCAAACAAAAGTTCACCAGCAGCGTCGACGATCACAGCGACTCCATTAACATTATTCAGTAATAAGTTATTATAAAAGTTAAATTTCTAAATTAAATTATCTTTATCGTTATATGATTATTTAGGAATTTTGTAATTTTGAATGCTTTTAACGGATTGACGGAGTAAGGCACACAACATGAGAACGATCTGCCAAGGGGGATGCCTCTCGGGAGGACCTTATATGGGAAACTGGTCTCTATTTAGACACGTAAAGAAATCCCGGAAAACACGTGGCTATCCGTTGGTCATCCACAAATCGCAAGTGGTTTTATCCATTCAGCCATTGGTAAGGATTTCAAAAAATAATTAAATAATTTATTCTTGTAATATATTTTTGTAGTTAGTTATGTATATATTAATCAAATGCATGCAGAATAAAATTATTTTCCTGTACAAATATTCTTCTATATTTGAAAAACTATATGAGGGAAATTAATAGCGAGAATAAAATTAATTTAAATATTATTAACAATATTCATAATAACTTTAGCCATTTTGTTGTTTAAAATATATTTTTATTTAAAAATTAATTGTTATTTTTTTCAACTGTACTCTATTTGGGTCTAACTTTTATTTAAAAATTTTAAATTTAGAAAATGATAGTTGTATCTATATTAATTTTATTAACAAATTATATTCGAATTTCTAACTTTTTAGAGAAACAAATAAATAAATGATAAAATTAAGATAACAAATTAGAAGAAAATCATAATTATGATAATTATGAAACATAATCTAATATAATATAAAAATATAAAACATATTCGGTTACAATTTTCTTTGCTATAAAATCATTCAATTATTTCTTAACAGGAATGCATAAGTAGATTATGCCATAATTCATTTCGTTCTAAATAAATAGCTTTTAAGTTGATAGTTCAACTTTGGGGACGAGGGATAGAGGAAACGATGTCAAATTATTTAAAGAAAGTAGTATAACGAGAATTAATATAACTTAATTATTAAAACTTTAATTGAATTCGTAAAATTTGAACAAAGATTTACAGAATAAAAGTAAAAATTATTCATAATATTAGAAAGGTAATCGAAGAGAAATATAATGAATTTATGAAACGTTTATGTGAGAAAAAGTAAACAAACCGACATAAAACATTAATAATTAATAAACAAAACTTGTTAAAGCTAAATAAGTGATTTTAATCTATTTTTTTAAAAAGTTATATGATCTTATTTTGTGTAAATTTTGAATTAATCTGATTTTATAAGTTTCAATAATAAACATATAATTTTAGCAGAGTTTGTAAACTGTTTTAATTAAGAATTGAATATATAATTATGAAAAAATTATTTGTTTATAGAAAGTTTAACTAAAAATTAATTTTTTTAAATTAATTACTTTTTTTTACAGTAGGCCTGTACATAAATTTCATTTAACTTAACTAATTTACATAAACAAATTAAAGACTTTTCTTAATTTTAATTTATTTTAATGAAATAAATCAAAAAGTTGTTACATTAGTAACTACTTATGTATTAATGTAATAGCAACTCTCATCAAATTTTAATATACAGTAGTTATATTATAATATTTAATATAAATATTTAGACTAATATATTTCTGTAGTCTCTATTTACGTCAGGGATGGGCAACCATTTTCTATGTAAGAGCCACGCTTAAAACTACTGAACTGACGAGAGCCGCATAAAAGAGAAAACTGAAGAAAAACAAAAAATAATCGCAAATCACAATTTTTTATTCACAGACTATATAATTATAAATTAACATATTAGTCACTGCTAGTTTTAAATTAGTTTTGATGTGAGTCTGTTAGCCGATTTCTTGTTTTATCAATACATTTTACTAAATTCATTGCGGAAAAAAACTGTTAACACATATAAGTTGTAGGAAATAGCGATAGAATTTTTGCTGCATACTTTCTTAAGATGGGAAATTGATATATTTATTAATATTTTGTGGGTTCCGGAGGTCGCGAGTTGCCCATCTCTGTTTTACTCAAGCTTTATTTTCGGCGCGCACTCCTATAACAACCCCTGCATAATTCGCATTTGCGGCATATAACGCTTAATGTCTGCAATAATTTATGATCCTTGAAATCAACAGAGTTTGAATAATATATCGGATTACCATAAACTACACAAATAAAAAAAATCTTTAAAAAATATATACAGTTTACTATTTCAAACAAATATCTTCGTAAAATGTTAAAAGATAGGTACATAAAGTTATAAAATATAATAATCAAAATTATAGCGCAGCAGTTTATTTTGATAGAAAGGTTCCTCAATTTCTCGTATTAATTGTATAGAAAAAGTACTGAAATATATTAAAAGAATTTAACTCAAATTACAACCAAAATAATTAAAAAGATTTTTTTTTCTAATATAAATATTTTTTAATCAATTCTTTCATTTCATCATAATAAATAAAAATCAGCACAATTGTGTTAGATGTGAAACAATAATTATACTATATAAGGGAGACCGGGGCAAGATCGGCATGTTAAGCTTTACTTAAATTTTGTGTAATAAATACTGCTGTAAACTGAAAAAAAAGCTTTGCATATTGTCTATTGGAATGTTACCTTACTATAGAACTGGTTAAAATCAGTTTGGAAATAAAAATAATTAAAATAATTACAACTTTACAAGAAGAGAGAAATTGACGAAGTTGCCCCGGGTATAGGGGCAAGATCGGCAACTTCTCTCTTTTTGTAAAGTTGTAATTATTTTAATTATTTTTATTAAAGTTGCCCCTGGTATAGGGGCAACAGTAATGGGGCAAGATAGGCACGTATATAAAATTATGTTATTAACAATGTATAAGTTGGAATTCACTATTAAAACAAAGAAATACAAATCCAACACCCATTTAATATTATTACAACGAAATGCAAGTTCAAAGACATATATACATGAATAACAAATGCAAACATGTTTTCATTTATCATCTGTTTGATTTTTATCCTTTGCTTCTAATGTGGCTTTATGTTGCCGATCTTACCCCGCTAGTCATGATTTCGAAACATTAAGTACAACCCTGAGAACAGAATGCCAAGCCACGATCTGGCCACGTGAATAAGTTGAAGTTACATCCTTCTAACAGGAAAAGTAACTTTCGTTATCATGGAATTATAACAAAACCTGCCAATTCAATATAAATGGAAAAAAAATATTATATGGAATTGAACGAAAATGAAAATTTGCTTGATAATTCAACTACGCTTGTTGGAGAACAATAAAAACACTACACTCAACAAGCCACCAATAAAACTCAACTGCCTAACCTGTAATCAAAGTCTCCTTTTAATTTGTTTTAAAAAAAAAGCGCTTGACAAACTTGCCCCGCATGCCGAAGTTGCCCCGGTCTCCCCTAAATATAAAAAATCATTATTTTAAACTTTTACAACAGAAATTAATTTGCTATTATCAAGAAAACAGCACTAAATATTTATTCAAGAAAATCTTAAACATTTATCATACAGATTCAATGTGAAAATATAGAAGGAATTATAAAATAGTTTATAACAATTTATTATAGAAATGAAGAAAAATTAAAGAAACATATTGGAAGGATGTTTTAGAATTATTTCATTACGAAGAATATTAAAAATATTAGGCCAATTTAAGCTTTTGTTATTATAGATCGTGGAGAAAAAAATCAGAAAGATAAACAATCGTATTATATACATTTGTTTTATATTAGGCCTATGTTTTAACATATAACCTATTTAATATAGGGGATGGCTGACATTTGCTTTATGGCGTTGCTTGTATATTTAAAAATAAAGATATTCTTAATGAAAATAAAGTTTTATTAACGATTCAAGCTTGATTTATATTATTAATTAGACTAATAAGAAGAGAACCGTGTCGTAATTGATATTATTTTGTTTTAATGAAATAAATCAAAAAGTTGTTACATTAGTAACTACTTATGTATTAATGTAATAGCAACTCTCATCAAATTTTAATATACAGTAGTTATATTATAATATTTAATATAAATATTTAGACTAATATATTTCTGTAGTCTCTATTTACGTCAGGGATGGGCAACCATTTTCTATGTAAGAGCCACGCTTAAAACTACTGAACTGACGAGAGCCGCATAAAAGAGAAAACTGAAGAAAAACAAAAAATAATCGCAAATCACAATTTTTTATTCACAGACTATATAATTATAAATTAACATATTAGTCACTGCTAGTTTTAAATTAGTTTTGATGTGAGTCTGTTAGCCGATTTCTTGTTTTATCAATACATTTTACTAAATTCATTGCGGAAAAAAACTGTTAACACATATAAGTTGTAGGAAATAGCGATAGAATTTTTGCTGCATACTTTCTTAAGATGGGAAATTGATATATTTATTAATATTTTGTGGGTTCCGGAGGTCGCGAGTTGCCCATCTCTGTTTTACTCAAGCTTTATTTTCGGCGCGCACTCCTATAACAACCCCTGCATAATTCGCATTTGCGGCATATAACGCTTAATGTCTGCAATAATTTATGATCCTTGAAATCAACAGAGTTTGAATAATATATCGGATTACCATAAACTACACAAANTTAAATGATTAAAAAATAAAATAAAAAATCAATTCATTCTTAAAAGAGTTTAATTTCAAAGTCAAAAATTCAATTATTATTGATTTTTTATCGTTTTATTTTTGTAGGAATGAAACTGTCTTCGAATTTTATTATATAAGAGAATATAAAATATCAGATATTTATTTTATTTATGGTTTATTTATTAAGATTCTCAAAAAGTCTCATTGATGTTTTATTCATCAAATTTATTTTGTGTATATTTAATAAAAATGAATTTTAAAATTTTACAAAATAATTATTTAGATTCATTCAGAGAAAAATTTTACTAGAACAATAATTTGTGAAATTTTTCGTTCATTTTAAAGTATTCAATATTAAAAATATACTATTTTATTAGTTTTTTTTTCCCTATATTGTGGCTGCTTGGAAAATTTTAAAACCAAAATAGGCAAAAGAAGAGGGGGAAACTAATTTTTCAAACATTTGAATTTGTTAAAGACAGGCAATTTTTAAGTTAAATTCATACATATTGCTGTTTATCGTTGTTGATTTCCTACTACATACGTCTAGTTATACTCTTTCATCTGTGTATGTAATCTACTTGTAAGCATACTTGCTATGATCTAATTCTAAGTGACTAATTGTATATAGAACTAACGTGAAATTTGTTTTAAAATGATAAATATCGTTAAGATAATATCAATACTACTTTTAAACCATCAACTGTTTTATTTTGTTTTGTTATTTTTATTACATAGCCTATTATTAATGGATTTAATTCTTTTAATATCAACTACGAAACACGTTATAAAAATAAGACATTTTTTTCGCTAATATATGATATTTAAATAAAGCATTTTGTATGTTTTTCACAAATGAAATATGCTAATTAGAATTATATACAATCTAACTATTGATTCTTCGACATTTCAAATTTTAATTGAGAAATTTATAGTTTTTAAAACTTAAAAACTTTAAAATTTGACCAATGAATAAACATAAGTAAAAATTGGTTTCATTAAATATTAAAAACTGCATGTAAATTCCTAATCTGAACGCGACAAGCAGAGATTTCCCGACTTTTTCTACATTTTATAGCTTAACTGAACGGAAATATCGCTCTCTTTCGTCTGATTAATCGCTCCACGAGTGATTAGATGGTCTACAACTTGACTGCAAAGATATTCATTAATTATATCACTCCCTCTTCATTTTCTACGCTCTATCAACCAATCTGACAATTGCTGTACGATATAATTATCAACCAACCCATTCCACTTGATTTCCCTCATATTTTAGTTGAAACTGCTGAATCGGGTAGTTTTTTGTTCTCCCCAAATAAGAACGTGGTTAGCTTCTCACCATAAAACTTTCACACAAAAATTTGGTCGAAGAACTGCTAAAACTTTAGCTGTACACATGCGAAAAAATACCGAAGTTTTTATGCTCTTTTACCTTAAATTGTCCACTTTTTTCTTTTATTTTCTTGTTTTTTTCCTTTCATTTTTAGTAAAGCTACCAAATTTTAATATTAATGTAATTATATCATAAATAATAAGGAAATATGACATTTTTTTAATGATAATAACTAAAACTCTAGCTACTTCACTTTTTCTAAGGATTAAATTTAAAAATTATTTTTCACATTAAATCTCTTAAAAATGTCCAATTTTAGATTTAAATACATTAATCTTCTCAAAAGTATTACCGTATTTATTAAAATGTTTACATTTTTAAAATACATTTTAAAAGCCAACATTTTTTTAAATATATATATTAGAAAGCTAATAAAATAAGAAAAAAAAATTACAAAACGCATTAGAAAATACCAATATTTTGTTGTTAGTTCAATTAAATTCCGTAAGTAATTTTATTATCTTCAATTTTATAAGCTTTAATACAATTCTCCAGAGATCAAGTTAGCAAATGGCTCCTGATCTGCCCACACCTTGCAGATAGATAGGTTAATCTGGTGGAAGAGATGATTTCTTCCTAAGAGTAAGCAGATAGAACAGTTACAATCACGTAAGCGGATTTGTTTTCTGTCATGCCAACATTAATGGACTCATACCAGTGATACATGACCACTAATCCTTTCCCATAGGAATTTAAATGTTTGGGGTAAGTGGTGGTTAAATACGAGATAGCTTTGTCCGGGCTTTAGGATATTTTCAGGTTATTAATGAAATGCTGTCAGCTCATAAGTAATCTTGAAGAAAAAATAAAGAATATGCACCAGTTTTCGACGATTTTTTAAACTGATATATCTATATACTTTTTAGCTAAGTAATGGATTAGACTCAGTTTTCATATTTTTTAAGAAAGAAAAAGCGTTTGTTTATCGTTAACATATTAGTCACATTGTGTTAACTTCTGTCGAAAATAATTTATACAATAGTATCTTACCATCTTTCATCGATGTAAAATAGGAGGCATCCGCCTGCAAAGTTCCAAACGTTAAGAGAGCAACTTGTCTCAGAGGGTTGTTAACAGGTGAAGTTTGCCACCAAGAAAAATTCGGAAAAGAAGGAATAGTAGCGGGAATAACGGAGTCTTCTTTATCTCTTAACAGTTCCTCTATAGTATATCTAGTATGCCCTATAAACAAAATATAATTACATCGCTATTAAATGAAAAAAAAGAAGAAGAAAAACGAAAAATCAAGCCTCTCGACTTACCTGTCGAACACCTGTTTAAGGAATTGTTAGAGATACTTTGCGTCCAGTTTTCCATTATGGTTTTGTCTTTTGTATCTACTTTCCTGCATTCATTCGATATTTAACATTGGAATAAAAATGACAACCAATCACTTACTAGAGATTATAAGTCAACCAATCCCAAGCTACATCGCTTATCTACCTGTATGGATACACCTGAATCAGGCAACAAGTTTTATGAAAAATGATGCAATCTAAGAGGGCAGACCGATAGGGATGTAAGGGGGACCGAAGATATTTCCCGCTTGGTTAAATCCCATTTATAATCATTGCTTCTACAGTAATAGAACTACACAGATTTTGACAAGGTTCTATAGTTTAAAAATGTCAAACCCTCCTAAATTATGTTAGCTACTCTTCGATCACATTCATAATATAAGAACCACTCTATCAGGTGATTTTTTTGAATGCAAAAAATATGCGGAAGGAGTTTTTAATAAATTTTTTCTTTCAATTTTCAATTGTTTTATAATTTATTCTGGTGAAATTGTGTTAAGGTTAATTGTTTAACTACGAATTGATACAATCCTTATCAAAGCGATACATTTTTATTATACATTTATATTTTTTAATTAAAGAGTTTCAGTTTATAAGTTTTCTTTTATTATTATTTAAAAATATTGGTTAGATAAAATATACAAAATAAAAATTTTTAAAATAATAAAAAATTTAACTTGAAAAATGAATTTAAAAAATTTAAACAGATCTAAATATATCAGAGAAACAATCCTAGTTTTTATTAATTTTTAAAAGATTTAAATTTATAGAAATAATGTATATATAAATTTTTAATTACTTAGTTTTAACAGAAAGTTTCTTGCACACACATATATATGTGTGTGTAAGAAATTTTCTGTTAAAGATAAATAAACTTTTAAATTTTTATATGAATTTTTAATTATTTAAGCTAAAATTTACATTAAAAAATCGATTCTTCGACATTTCAAATTTTAATTGAGAAATTTATAGTTTTTAAAACTTAAAAACTTTAAAATTTGACCAATGAATAAACATAAGTAAAAATTGGTTTCATTAAATATTAAAAACTGCATGTAAATTCCTAATCTGAACGCGACAAGCAGAGATTTCCCGACTTTTTCTACATTTTATAGCTTAACTGAACGGAAATATCGCTCTCTTTCGTCTGATTAATCGCTCCACGAGTGATTAGATGGTCTACAACTTGACTGCAAAGATATTCATTAATTATATCACTCCCTCTTCATTTTCTACGCTCTATCAACCAATCTGACAATTGCTGTACGATATAATTATCAACCAACCCATTCCACTTGATTTCCCTCATATTTTAGTTGAAACTGCTGAATCGGGTAGTTTTTTGTTCTCCCCAAATAAGAACGTGGTTAGCTTCTCACCATAAAACTTTCACACAAAAATTTGGTCGAAGAACTGCTAAAACTTTAGCTGTACACATGCGAAAAAATACCGAAGTTTTTATGCTCTTTTACCTTAAATTGTCCACTTTTTTCTTTTATTTTCTTGTTTTTTTCCTTTCATTTTTAGTAAAGCTACCAAATTTTAATATTAATGTAATTATATCATAAATAATAAGGAAATATGACATTTTTTTAATGATAATAACTAAAACTCTAGCTACTTCACTTTTTCTAAGGATTAAATTTAAAAATTATTTTTCACATTAAATCTCTTAAAAATGTCCAATTTTAGATTTAAATACATTAATCTTCTCAAAAGTATTACCGTATTTATTAAAATGTTTACATTTTTAAAATACATTTTAAAAGCCAACATTTTTTTAAATATATATATTAGAAAGCTAATAAAATAAGAAAAAAAAATTACAAAACGCATTAGAAAATACCAATATTTTGTTGTTAGTTCAATTAAATTCCGTAAGTAATTTTATTATCTTCAATTTTATAAGCTTTAATACAATTCTCCAGAGATCAAGTTAGCAAATGGCTCCTGATCTGCCCACACCTTGCAGATAGATAGGTTAATCTGGTGGAAGAGATGATTTCTTCCTAAGAGTAAGCAGATAGAACAGTTACAATCACGTAAGCGGATTTGTTTTCTGTCATGCCAACATTAATGGACTCATACCAGTGATACATGACCACTAATCCTTTCCCATAGGAATTTAAATGTTTGGGGTAAGTGGTGGTTAAATACGAGATAGCTTTGTCCGGGCTTTAGGATATTTTCAGGTTATTAATGAAATGCTGTCAGCTCATAAGTAATCTTGAAGAAAAAATAAAGAATATGCACCAGTTTTCGACGATTTTTTAAACTGATATATCTATATACTTTTTAGCTAAGTAATGGATTAGACTCAGTTTTCATATTTTTTAAGAAAGAAAAAGCGTTTGTTTATCGTTAACATATTAGTCACATTGTGTTAACTTCTGTCGAAAATAATTTATTTATAATTATATTTAATTTGAATGCTAGTTAGACGATTTAAAATGGTTTTTATTAACCTATTACCTAAGGATTTTTTATCTATTTATAAATAAGACATTAATTTAATAGCAAATATAAATGTTTTTATTAACTATTTCATAGTTTATTTTGATTTTAAAGTAATTGTTAAATACATAATACTTTATATATTTAATAATTAGTTAAAACCGAAATATTATTTTATGAATTTTTCGTTAAAAAATTATTTATTTTCAAAGCACATTTATTTATATTCTATTATTATGAATCTTATTTTCTGTTTTGTTTTAAATTTAAACGAGTCTTTATGATACGAGAGCAATTTTATATTTAAAATTGTAACAAATTTCTTAGAAAATTTTTTTCAACAAAAGTTTTTAACTTGATAATTTACAGTTCAGTTAAATGATTAAAAAATAAAATAAAAAATCAATTCATTCTTAAAAGAGTTTAATTTCAAAGTCAAAAATTCAATTATTATTGATTTTTTATCGTTTTATTTTTGTAGGAATGAAACTGTCTTCGAATTTTATTATATAAGAGAATATAAAATATCAGATATTTATTTTATTTATGGTTTATTTATTAAGATTCTCAAAAAGTCTCATTGATGTTTTATTCATCAAATTTATTTTGTGTATATTTAATAAAAATGAATTTTAAAATTTTACAAAATAATTATTTAGATTCATTCAGAGAAAAATTTTACTAGAACAATAATTTGTGAAATTTTTCGTTCATTTTAAAGTATTCAATATTAAAAATATACTATTTTATTAGTTTTTTTTTCCCTATATTGTGGCTGCTTGGAAAATTTTAAAACCAAAATAGGCAAAAGAAGAGGGGGAAACTAATTTTTCAAACATTTGAATTTGTTAAAGACAGGCAATTTTTAAGTTAAATTCATACATATTGCTGTTTATCGTTGTTGATTTCCTACTACATACGTCTAGTTATACTCTTTCATCTGTGTATGTAATCTACTTGTAAGCATACTTGCTATGATCTAATTCTAAGTGACTAATTGTATATAGAACTAACGTGAAATTTGTTTTAAAATGATAAATATCGTTAAGATAATATCAATACTACTTTTAAACCATCAACTGTTTTATTTTGTTTTGTTATTTTTATTACATAGCCTATTATTAATGGATTTAATTCTTTTAATATCAACTACGAAACACGTTATAAAAATAAGACATTTTTTTCGCTAATATATGATATTTAAATAAAGCATTTTGTATGTTTTTCACAAATGAAATATGCTAATTAGAATTATATACAATCTAACTTCAATAATATTATAATATATATGAAATTGATTTTTACAAATTAATAGTTTTATTAAATCGTCACCCAATATTCAAATTCAAATCGTTCTGTAAGACCCTATTTAAACTGTGACGTATTTCGTACGTTCTACTGGAAACGGATGTGTTTCTACAACCATCTTTCACACGCATTAACTTAATTTTTGGGAATTCGATTGTTAATATTCAATTGAAAATTAAATATTATTGATAATTCTCTGCGGATAATAACTATCAGTATTGTTGTAACATTACAAAAGTAAAATCGATATGACTTTAAATACGGAATGACCCCGATTTACAAGCGTACTTCTTTCTTGAAAGTTCTTTTAATCAAAATCTCGTAGATTGTGAGTAATTTTTTAATTATTTCTTATAGCCGAAATTCATACCTTGTTGTAGTATAATACAATTATCCTATCCCTTTTCCCCAAATGACATTTAAAGTGCAATAAAACACACATTAAAGTATTAACCAATGATTCTAAATGAATTAAAATTAAATTGTTGATCAGATTATTTAACGATATAAAAGGATCTAATACGAAATGAAAGAACACAACATAAGAGACAAAAACACAACCTATAAGTTGTCAGATATTTCTTTAATGGAAACAAAACAAAAATTATTTGAGACAATATATAAATAGAAACGAATAGAATAGAATAAAATAAAACAGCTTTTTAATAAAATTGTAATCACCGATTAAAAAAGATGATTTTTTTCCTAACTTCGCCCCGTGGGCACTAAAAGGGTATTTTACACAAGCCCATTATTGATTTGGCCAGACCCATAATGAGGCAACGGGTGGTGAGGGACGAGGCTCGACATATCCGGACAGACCACCCTCGAAAAATCCTGAGGCTTTTCGACCCATACGGATTTAATCCCGGATCTCCAGAGCGGTAAACTGCTATCTTAACCGCTGGCCATCCGGCCCCAAAGAGATGGTTGTTTGGAAAGCCAATTGATTTCTAAAAGTTTTCGTCTGAGGTGAGTTGTGGTGCCTGTTTTCCTGAGAGCGAAGAAACAAAGCGAATGAAACAAATAACATGAAAATTGGAACTTACGAGCCATCTAATCAGAATGCGCCGAAATTTCAGTCTCATCACAATCGTGATAAATATATACAGTATACAGGGTGATTAACGTAAGTGTTACAAGTCAATAACTAGGAAAATATACTTCTAATAAAAAAAATTGTAATACTGTAGTTTCATTTGAAATTTTAAAGTTGCCTCCTTGACCTACTCAGAAGGAAGGATAGACCAGGCTTTATATTTAAGGCATTAAAAAAGCTCCTCTAAATATTAGATTTATTCTTATCCATTTTTTATTAGAAGCATATTTCCGAGCATATTGACTTGTATATGTTAGGTTCAAAGATCGAAAACGTTCAATAAGCGGGGGAAAACGACCAGAAGGAGTTGTATCTTTACAGAACAGCCAAAACAAGAAATTTCCCATCCTGGCTTCTTATAAAAGCCACGACGCATTCTGTCATTTTAAAAAATGCCAAAATGAGAAATTGTGTTCTGATAGTTAAAAAAGGTTACTATAACGCGTTCTATACATATCACAACGCATTGTTGCAGAAACATGAGACATTTTTATCACACTCATAAAACAAACTGCTATCTTATCCTCATTAAGGAAAACGGGGCGGATTCGAAATCAACTCAGTCATTCGTTAGTTTTGATCATCGTAGAGGCTTTGTCAGTTAGGCATAAAAAAATGCGCAGTTCTGTTCTCGCAATGAGTTTACAACTAGGACAATTTTCATCGACATACAGGATGGGCCCCAAATTCAACGTATTCGGTCATTCTCTGATAGCCCTGACGAGAGAAGTGAAGATAAAGCTACAACAATGCGGCCCGATCATTACAAGGAGCCGAGAACCAATTTTAAGACCTCTTTTAAGTTATCAGACAAAAATTAACAGATTGAATTGAAACTTAGTTAAACAAATAATGAGCAAAATAAATACTTAATAAAAAAAACTTGTTTAATATTAATTAAGTGCTAATTGAGTGCTTCAAAAATTTATAATTTTTATACAAAATTAGTAAAATGTAAAACGATTATTCATATTTTATATAATATTTGTCATGGACAAGAAATCAACGAACTGAGTTACATTTCATATGAAATTATATAAAATGTAATTTAATACAGTAGACCCCCTATAACACTGTTGATAATTCCGTGTTATATGGATTCCATGTTGTACGAGTTACTTAGATTTTACAAATACGTGTGCCGGGCTGTTAACAGTTCACGTATTTGTAAAATCTAAGTTGACTCGTACAACACGGAATAATCAACAGTGTTATAGGGGATCTACTGCAAATTGTTATGCTAACTAACAATCGTTTGTTTTTCGATTGTTAGTTGTCATTTATCCAATCTATATATATAATCGAGATGGATTGATAATGATAATAATAATAATCAGCGCAGAGCCTAAACGGTTAGGAGTTGAAAGTTGAAATTTGATACACAGTTAGGGTACGTCATGAGAACGTACACCAAGAAGGGATTTTTCGAAATTCCCCTCCGCGGGGAAGTGTTATACATTTATAATAGATACATGCATTGAGCCACAGCAACGCGTGGCCGGGTACAGCTAGTGCTAAATATTTTCAAAAGGATATTATTTTCAATAAAAATTCGGCGGAGATACTCGCTAGTCGTTTTATCATACAGACAATATACACTTATTCGTCAAAGTTAGAGAAAGAGATATTGTTGTATTTATATAAAAACAGTAGATAAAACTCGTTTACCAATTGCAATGTATTCTCAATATTTACCACTAGTAGAGCAGCACGTAAGTATATTTCTCTCTCAAATATATATATTTTTCTCTATAAAAATAATATAATGGTGCAAGATGGGGCCAAGACGGGGACGTCTGTTTATTCGTGGTTAACGCGCTTTCATCTAGCTGTTATTTGGGAAATTAAATGTCAACCTCAAAAGGGATCACGGGACGAGAGAACGTCCGAATCGGTCTTTTTGTTCGGAAGTAAGACAGTTTTCCATGTTTCGGCAATACTTCATCTAATTTTACGCCCGCTACAAAGTTTCTACAAAGTAATCATCACTGTGAACTTTTATATTACCTTTTAGATAAAGATATTATGGTATTCGAAGTAACCTTTAAGACTGAAATTGTTTAGTTTTGAAATAAAGTTGACCCGTGTTTGCAGTCAGTATGAAAAGTGCACGTTGGGGCAAGATTGGCCATGAACTCTGCTCTGGCTAGAGGCACTGCAATATAGTGCAGTGAACTAGTTTTAAGTTCGTTGTCATTGATAATTCTATATCATATTTTCGAATATATAAAATAATAAGTTTAAAAATGATCTTTTTATAGAAAATGAAATATTCCACTTTTAAATCATATCTAACTGTAATAAATTTATACAGTATATATTGTATTACTTTATTATTTATGTTTTTACGTTTTATTTTATTTGTGAAAACATTTTTGAAATTTAAATACTATCTTAACAAGAAATAAAATGTGAGATAACAATCGAAATAAAAATTTTTTTCCACAAAAAAAATATCGTCTGCTTACAAAATAGCGAAACTGAGCATGCGCGAAGTGACAGTATTGTCTGGTAAATACGAGTAAGTTCAAACTTTTATACAGTATTTATTTATTCGGAAAATAATAATAAATATAACCGCTGTAGTAAATGGGCGCATTGTTCTTGTTCCAATATTAAAGAAAACGACAGTTTAATCATTTTAATTTGTTTTTCTTGTATATAAAAATAATATTCCCATCTTACCCCACAGGTGGGGCTAGATGGTGCATTTACATATACAGTAGATCCCCCTATAAGACGGATTCCTATAATTACGATTCCTATAAGACGGCGAAAAAATTGTGGCGGTATCCGTCAACAACGGTAAAAAACTCCTATAATTACGTAAAACGTCATCGGGCAGCCGAACTACTTTCTGCCGTCCAGCGCCACGCTACGGACAGTTTAGGCGGGTAAATTGAGCTTAGTATCGTCTGTACATATAATTATATATAAATTAGGTACTGTATATATAATTATATATTAACTTAATTTATTGTAACTTTATTATAATTATGTATATATGCTCTCCGCCGTCTAGCGCTACGCTACAAAGAGTTTAGGCGAACTATCGTCTGTACAGTATGTAAATTAGCTACCGTAAGTCTAATACAGTACTGTAATTTTATACATTTCTTGTGAAAGAAACATTTCTTATTCAACGGCGATTAAAATTATTTATATTAATGATGTCTCCAAAGTTCAACGAAGTTTTCGCAGAAAAATAACATCAGAAATCGCGGCCGTGGTTTGCTGCGCTGTTCCGCGACGAAAACAAGCTTGAGCAATGGCGATGTCGAACGGTGCACACTCGGTAAGTAATCCTACAATTTGTTTATAGCGTAGTTTATACGGATTATTCCCCCCAAAAAATATACGTATTTTGGAAATGTTGAGTCGAATTAGTCTAGAATCGATTAATTTTATGGAAGAAAACCTTTCAAACAGCCGTAGTCCGTAAACTTCACACGTATCGGGCTGTGATTGACTGTGATTCCTACAAAATTGATTCATAAAGAACGTAGTTCTTGGTGTAGTTCTAACAGTTCCTGCAAAAATAATTCAGCTTGGTCGTTGTTCTTAATTATATTACATTATTCTAAATAATTTTCTTCAAAAATAACTTGAGACTAAATACAGATCTTAATATTAATTATTAATGAAGTCTCATCTAATCCGAATAAAACAAACCAAATAAAATTGTCCTTTAGTGAAAACGATGAGTTTCGGATTAGAACTCTAACTCCTTCAGGCTAAGAAAAAATACAGAATTTTTTACATATAAAATATAAAAAATTTACAAACTTACATATTTTAAGCTGTTTATATTTTAGCTGCTTGAGACCTTGAGATAATAAGCATCTTGGCCATCTGTTAAAAGTTGTAAATAGTGGGATGAATCGAGATGAGCGTCGACTGTGATGCCCATCGGAGGGTTTTTGTTCCCTCTTTCAATTCGATAAATACATAAAATTGGAAGTTAGGCATCAATATAGAAAAAGTGTCTTGACAATCAATTTTTTTTACAAATGCTAAGAATGGGTGGTCATAATATTCCAGTATGACCGCCCAATCGGCAGGAGCGTGTATTTGTGTGTCTATTCCAAGAGAGAAAACAGGTTTGATTTAGTATATGGACTTGTTTGTGCGATGTCTGTATATGAGTGCTGATATCAGTCCATCCTCCTCTCCATCGGCAGTCGAAAAGCTCCATCAGCATCAAAAGGATATCAGAATAGCCCATAAATTTAATGAACGAAAGGGGGCTTTATAGTTTTTACAATTTATTCGATTACAAGTATGCGGATACTTCCTAACACCTCTCCACAGGCAAGTATTGATTCCGGAAGGGCAGTCTGCCCAATGTGCCCTTTTACACATTGATGGACAGGTGGTTGCACTAAGCGACAGCAAATAATTGGACAGGCTAATAAAGTTGCAAGTATAGATTCACTAGAGCTTCAGTCAATTTTGGTGCCTGACAATACTACCTTTTTGGATATTAAGACATAAAAGATGCAATATTCTGATGTGCTGAGACAGGGGCAAAAGTCCAAAGCTTGATTCTGAAAAAATGTTAGGATAAATTTTTCAATGAAATTTCTGAGGATTCAGAAGAAATTGTAGAGATTGATTTGACAAATACAACATGAAAAATTCCCGATTGTGAAAATATCACCAAAGTTACAGAGTGAGTAAAGTGATGAAGATCAAGAAATGTTAAAGCTCATGAATAAAGAGGGAAAGGATGAGAGAAATGACAATGAACAAGAGTCCTTTGAAGAGAGACATTCAGAGGAAGCATTTCAAGCTTTAGAAGTAGGTGCTGTCCCTCACCACCTAGTCACCCTATTTTGGGTTTAGAAAATCTACCACAGATATGAAAAAAGGCAGGAAAAAAAGAGAAATATAAAATAAATAAAAATTTCTAATTATTATTATTCATCTCTTCGTGGGATGTTTGAATATCACATGAGGAATCCTAAAATTCCACAGAACAGTTTGAATAATCCATTATAAGCAACTTTAAGTTCTATTAAAAAATCACTTTTTTTTCTGTCTTTCTTTCTTTTTAAACAACAATTATATATATAGTTTAAAATATTTTGTATATTTTATATATATGTATAAAAACGACAATTGATTACATTTCTAATTAGTTTATTTCAAATCAAATGAAATTATATTAATAATTAATTTTGAAAACAAACTTTATACTATTTCATAATTATGATACTTTCAGAAGGACACAATTATAGGCAATAAGAATTACAGACAAATTTCTGTTTTAATATTCAATAATTTTATTTTAACCAAATGGATGGTAATGCCATAGGTCTTTTCCAATAAATTCTTTTCCAAATTGGAATTTCTTGCAACATTTCATAGTCTGATATTCTATTTTCATATAATTGTCTCAGTTTTAATTTAGTTTGGTATATTTCTTCTTCTGATCTTTTATCTTCACTAAGATAAGGAGTCAGGTTTAATCCTTTTGTATAATATGGCCTGTTTATAAAGAATTTATATAAAATCTTGAAAACATCTTCATTTAAACCTTTAAATTCATTATTTTCAATTACATCAAATAATTCCATAGGACCAGATGACCAACACAAGTTTTGAAGAGAATTGTTATCTACATCACTGTGTAATCCAATGGTATTTAATTGATAAATAAAAAATGCCCAAAGTTTGCCATTACTAACTACTGTTTGTGTAACAAGTGGATAAGTTAATTCATGAAATGGAGTAAAACCTGTTAAAAAAAATTATATTTTTGTAGATGCAGCTTTGACAAGTTTTCTAATTAAACATTATAATTCTTACCTAAATGAGTGGCAATGCCCATTAACCAGCCATATGACACTATTAAACCATATGCATCAAGTCTCACTTTTCTGTCTTTCTCATGAATATGTACTTCTGCAGTTGCTAAATCTTTCATATTATGAAAAGACATCAGAGGAAATTTATATGGACTACCAGGCCAAACACCTATATTTATAATAAAAAAATACATACACAATATACATCAAATTAGTCTAATTTGTAAATAATATTTATTGAATAATTTTAAAATTTTTGTTCGTTTTAATAAAAATATTTTTTAATAAATTAAAAATTTCATATTAATTTGTCTTAAGTTCAAGAATATGTAGATTATTAAATTCTTATCTAGAACTATTATTATATATAAGCAAATAAAGGTTTTGATGGAATTTAAAAAAAAATAGTGTGATTCATTTTAAACTTGTTTGAAGAAGAGAAATTATGCAAATTCAGTAGTAGCAGAGCACTGTAATACCACAGGATGTGAAAGTATTAAATTCAATAAAAATAAGGAAAAAAGAAAAAAATAATTACAAAAGACAAGTTTACGAACATATTAATATAATTTGACAAAATAACAGAATAAATAGTAATACCGGTAGAGAAATGCACCAATCATGGCGAAGAATCATAGAGGAAGGGGAGAGTCTGAGAGATAAAAAGAATAATCGAAAGAAGTGGAAAACAGAAGTAAGTCAAATTGAACAGGAAGAGATGCAAGTTGTAAAAATAGTAAATAAATGTAAAAAACAGATGTAATGTAAAACATTAATATAATAATTTGTTTTAATACAGGCTTAAGTTTACAGTATTATTGTTGTTATTGGTTAAAACTGAATGTCCGGTGGAGTTAAAAACAAAAGAAAAAAGTTTGAAAATTAATGTACTACAAAAATACCTGCTGAAGAGGGACAAAAGAGTCCAAAATGCAATATTATGTATGTGTCCAGGTATATTAAATAAAACAAAAAATTGTTTTCTGTGAAACTCTGTAGCATTATCTGTAAAGCCAGTATAATAAGTCCTGATATTAGAAAAATATGTACTTGTAGACGAAAATTTATATATTATAAAAAATGTATATTTGTAATGATGTGATCCATTATATTTTAAATTAATATATATTGAGAAATATAATATGGTATAAATTATAGAATTTTTTGTCTTTCAATTATGTTAAAAAAACTAACTAAAAAAATTACATAATTTATTTCTGAAAAAAACAATTAACATCTTCAGAAACAATTAACTTCTAAAGAAGTTAAATTACACTAAAAACATTTAATGAAAATGTTTTGTCATTAAATGAAATGAAATTTCCTTTAATGTATATCTATATTACTTACCCAAACTCTAGCATACAATATACAGTTTGTAATGAAAAAGTATCATTTTTTTATCATCATTGACATTTTATATATAATTAATTTTAATAAAAACCATGAAAAAATTAGCTCCTACATATTTTTTTTCTAGGAATAAAATAATTTGATTTACTTATTATTTATTTTATTAATAATTTTAGTTATTTAACTTATTAATTATTTAATATTATTAATATGTATAAGTAAAATAATTTTATTTATTTGTTTGAAAAAACTATCAGAAACAAGTTACACAGATGCTTTCATATTCCAGAATGATACTAAACCTTCCTGTGAAAAATTGCTAAATAATTTCTGTAACATAATTCCATCTACTGGAGAAATACTGGTAGTGAAATGAACAAACAATAATAGTGAACACATCATTCACTATTGTTGTTTGTTTAACAAAAGAAAATTTCCAGAACATTTTTCACATTGAACATATGATATATGTCAAAGCCAAAAAAGTGATCCCACACATGGACATTATGGGATGCAACAGTGACTGAGAAAGGGTTAAGCCACAATCATCAGGTTATGCTGCTTTTTGAACATAGAACAATGTTTAAGATGGAATGCTTTCTTCTTTTGAAACTTGGAATGCCATGTGCACTGGAAATATTTACATATTACAAGATGAAATCTGATTAGTCAATTGTCTGGCCTTGAAAAGTGGTATTCTGGATCTCAAATAAAGCTCTCCAGACCTGTGCCAGGGAATTATTGACTTTGTAGTTAATGGAAGAGTTTTCCTTTGTAGTTTTATATATTTCAATTTTCCAGATGTCAAATATGCGATTTTTCTGACAATATATGTAAAAGTCTCGCCTGGTCTAGATGGGGATGGACATCTATTTCTAATGCAAGGGTGGAAAGAGCAGTGGTGGTTTGTCTTTTTTAATCCAAGTTAAGTGCTCTTGGAGATATAGGTACAGCAGTCTTTTAGTGGCCCCAATGTACTGTAGCTTCTTGACAACACTGTGGTCCATTAATTAAAGGAGATGGTGTTTACACTTATGATGATTTCTGCTGAGTGTGTCCTTGTTGTTCCTAAGTAACATGTATACAGTTGAACTCCTTTTGATAGCTAATGATACCTTTTTAGTTTCAGTGATCTTTCTGTAGTTTTATGCTAATATTTTGTTGTAAGTTACACTCCTGTAACATTGGGCTGCTGCTTCTTTTGTGGCTTGGTATTTCTTGATGAGGCCTTCTATGTTGGGATTTTATCTATGTTATACTTCTACACTTTTGATATAACTGAGTTCATCCCTCTTACTTTTGTAACTGGATCTGTGCATGTATACTCTTTTTATCACTGATCTAATGCTATTTTAAATTTGAACAGATTATGTGAATGTGCCAGTATCAACACTGGATGGTAAAATGGTTTACTTTATACTGTAGTGTAAAACTGTTGTTCATTCTTCTTATGTTCATATTAAGGAAGTGCACTTCTGTATAATATTCCTGTTCTAAGCTCAGTATGAAACCATATAGGTTGTTGTTGTTGTTGTTGTAAGTGTGTAGTACAGCTTGCATGTCCAGTTTATTTTTCCAAACAACAAGGATGTAGTCCACATATCTAGCATAGATATGTAGTCCACATATCTAGCATAGATATGTGGACTACTACATTCAACATTATTCTTGAAGGTAGGAATGATAGTATTGACAGTACCTATGGGTAGCCCTCTGTGTTGCATGTACATCAAACCTTCAAGTTAAAAGAATGGGTGGCATGTTAAGTCCACAAGTTCTAAAATGTCCTTTAAGCATTTGTTGGATTTGTTCTACATTTAAAAGGTGGCCATAACCTGATGATGCTGGCTGAAGCCCACAGAAAGCATTTTTTTTATTACAAACTATACACTGTATGCTGAAGTTTGGCTTTGTAATATAGATTTATTAATTTATATAGTTTATTTTGTGGTGTTATATTCTTTAATGTATTATTCATATATGTTAACTTTGATGCAAATTTTTCATGTTTAAATTTATGTCAATGCTTTAAAAGGTATAGAATTATAGCAAATGTTATTCTTAAGACAACAGTTGATATTAAAAATAATTTGATTAATATAATAAATTATTTAAGAATTTAAAAGAAAATAAAAATAAGAAATTTTACCTGGAACACTTGATGGATATCGTTTATTATAATCATATCCTTGATATTTTGGATGATAATTAAACATTGGAATATAGTCCTCTGAAAATTTACATAATGGATCTTCCAATGGAACTATCTGTAATAGAATTCATTAATAAATTTAATATTGAATAAAAATTTTTCTCAACATCTATATATACATAAATAAGAAAAAATAAGCATCAAAAAATGTCACAAATATTAATTAATATCCATAAACCTAATTTTCAGTTTTAGGACAAATAATTGCCATTAGTAATGAATGCTAAATAGTAGCATTATTATAGCTGGATTTGATAGCCTGGCAATTGTTTTCAAAAAATGTCACACACAACCAATCAGAAAAAGTTTCATCAATGATATATGATCTATATCATGGGTCACAAACTAGCAGCCTTTGGACTGCACAGAACCCATTAAAAAATCAACATTTCCAACATCTTGTGGAGATTAAAAGAGAAGAAATTAAAATGTTTAACTGTTTGCATAAGTCATAAAGGCCTGGCAACAAAAAGGCCTTTGTTAGAACTTTTTTTAATTACAGTTATATTTTGGTTTACTGAATAACTTCAAATACATCCACATCTGATATACATCTATTTGACTGGTCCTTTGTTACGTTTGAGTTTGAGACTCCTGATCTATATTCTGCCAATTGTAAAAGGCTAACATCATACTACAGTAAACCAGAAGTGCTGGCATTATTTCTCTCTCATTTCCAACATTTAATGTACTTACAGTACATTTTTAGTTAAAAGTTTGCTGTAATATGCATATATTATGAGAGTAGTTATACATTTGTCAAATATTTTCCTAATTACTTTCTGTGTAAATAGTTGTTTGAGATGAAAAAAACCCACACTAATAACGCAGGCTGCCGTAGATTTTGTGAGTGATTAATCTGTGTACAAAAACAATGTTAGAAATGTGCTATTTACTTCTAATAATATATTTAAAACAATAATAGGTTATTAAATAATGCTTTTAGCCCACAATGTGAATTAAGATTAAATTAATTAGCTTAATAAATATGGCTGTAATAAATTGGAGGGCTTATCATATCAGGGACTGACTGGAGCAAAATAAACTAAATTTTTACAAAAAAATAGCCTTTAATTAACAATAATCAAATTTTTAGTAAAATGCATTTCAGGCACAAAGACCCCTCTCATCAGCCTAATACATCCATACAATATAAACACAAATATCTATATAGGCTGATGTGATGCCTGAAACACATTCTACTAAAAATTTGATTGTGGTTAATTAAAGGCTATTTTTTTGTAAAAATTTAGTCTATTTTGCTCCAGTCAGTCCCTGATATGATAAATATGGCTGTAATAAATTGGAGGGCTTATTAGGCTAATTAATTTAATCTTAATAATAAGTTGTTAGAGACTGCACAACACAAAACCATGGTGACAAAAGAAAAAATTTGATGGTAATTATAAATACAACTTAATCAAATTAAAATGTGACTAAATATAAAATTTAATTCATCTTTACATAATGCAGTTTATGTTATGAGTAATGGAAAGTCTCAAATGAGGATATGTACTTTTCCTACAAGCAAAATTAAATCATTACGAACGGCTCTTGATAAAATATCACAATGAATAAATCCGCTTGTCAAATAATTATGAGCATCAAGTGATTTGTATGCCTTCATCTGATCCAGTGTGACAGTGTTAGTTGTTAAACCAAATAATTTACTGTCTCCATGTTCTATAGTAGGCCACATGGTTAAATTGTTGGATGAAAAATCTGTTGGTTTCATTTCATTTGAATCCCACCAAATAAAACAAATTTTCTCTTTATATTCTATCAAATCATTATCTTTTAAATTGGCTGCATAGATGCCTTTCTTCCATGTTGACAAAATAAAGTGAACGAGCAAGGTAATGCCAAATCAGCACCATTTGTTTTACAAAATTAGCAAGAGGTCACGTGGGCAGCCAACGAAATCTGAAGCAACTGACGAAAACCAAAAACTGAGGCAAATTTTGAAAACCAAAAACTGAGGCAAAAAACTGAGGAAAAAAACAGACAAAAACCGAAACTGATGATAACCATAGTCGACAAAAACCAAGGTATTACTTTACTTCAAATGTTTTTGATCTATCTCAGAGTTATAATAAACCCAATATGTATAGTTTGACATATTTTTTTTATTTAATAACTCTAATCAACAAATTAGAATGATTTCTAAGTTTCTCTAAATTAAAATCAAACAGATATTTAACTGAAAATGTTTCTCTTGATGAAAGTGTTGAACTAAGCAGTTGTTTGGTTTATTTATTTATTAGCAATGCCAAATTTTGAGTTTTTATATAGTTGCATTTTTGGTAAACTTTCAACATTGATTTTATTAAAGATGGTTTACACTATAAAACATAAATTTATATTTGTTTTTACAAATGTGAACTAACTCTTTCTGTTTTTCTATATGAATTACTTCCAATAAATTTATCATGGTTTCAGCAAATAATATGAATACTTTTTTGCTTACCATAGTGTTTTGTAAATAGTTAAGCCCTTACACTTTCAAAATCAGTAAATTATATGCATTTAAAAGTAAGTAGGCATAATTTTCTAAATTAAAAGTTTTAATGTTTCTTTAGCAATAAATTTATTTAAAATTATGGTAAAATAACAAAATCTATTTTATTAATAATAAAATTAATGTTTGTAATTTCAGTAGATGAGATAAATAAATTATTATTTGTCATCATCACATTTCATTAATTTTCATATTTTAAACTGATCTTTTAGTTAGATACATATTATTATGTTGGTTTAGTTGATATATTTATTATCATATCTTGATTTTGTTAAAAATTGAAAAAACAATTTAAGAATACTTTTTAACAATAATATAGTTCTGCATCAGAATCCTCCTCCCATGAAAGAAAATGTGATTTTTTAAAATGAATTTTGATGTGCTTGTGGGTGTTAAGCCAATTCTGTTGCCAGATTGGTTCCAGCACTACTGATACTATAAAAGTCTGTAAAAATGTTTGACAGAAATGGAAATAATTATTTTTTACAGAACAGTGTAATCCATATCAAAAATAACTTTCCTGAATTGTAAAATTAAAAGTGCCAAAGTCAGATGTATAGCCATGGTGGGGCAAGGTGGTGTGGTTGCCTCACCCTGGCTCATTTAGTCAAATAAAAAGTTATAGGTCAATAGGTTATAATAGTATTGCACAGCAAGAAAACGTTTGAATCATGGTGGAAAGACACTATCATGTTGGTCGATGATGAGAGCATTCTCTGGTGAACAAGTGGGAAACTGGCCATTCAACGTCTGAATGATCTGTGGTAAGACTCGAAAATTGTAGAATGTTTGACGTTCAGATTTAATGGGAAAGTTCTAGTACTTTCTGTTCCTTATTTAAGCGCTACAATCAGTGCAAGTGAGTCAGTTGAATGAGTTGTTTGAGCTTGTTCAAAACATACCGCGAGCAAAGTGTATTTGAAACGTCATTAAGTCTATGTGCAATACTGGATTTCTTACATCATTTTAAATTAATAAGTGCTGTATCTACTTCTATTGTAAGTTGTAAGTGTTTTAATAAATCCATTAATGTTTTTTGCGAGTTTATTTAATTTTTGGATTATAATTCTATAAAAATAGCAACCTAAAATGGATATTATTGAATAGAATCTTTTTCAGCACAAAAGATATGTATCTATATTATTTTCATTTGAGTCAATGAATTGCAAAACAATCTAATTAAAGCAACCTAAAATCTTCAGGAAATGCAAAGACTGTTTCTTTTTTTGTTTGTAATAGTGATTTTGATGTCTTTATTATTGAAATTTTAAGAAAATTCATACAATACTAAATAAGGAAATAATAACAATATACCACCCTCATATAATTTTAAATAACAAATGAAAATTGTAATTAGCTACTTTTGTGGCAATTTTGCTTAATTAGGTGGTTTTGAAATGGTTGATTTTGCAACTAGCTACTTCTGCTAGTTGCAAAATAATAAAACATATTTGTACAAAATATTAAAGTGTTTTTAAAGTTGAAGTTTCTAGTGTAGAGTGTCCGTTCAAAAGCTTAAATTTTTTAGGAAGTGTAGTAGTAGTTGTTTATTTTCTTTTAGGGAGACAGAAGAGGAAACAACCAGTTAAAAGTAGTAGCAAAAGTGATAGCAGCAGAGAAGAGAAATTGAAGTAGAATGTGTAGTACTTGCACAACTGCATCTATTGCTGTTTTAAGTGCATCAAGTGGATCTTCGCTACCATCTAGTTCTGGTGCACAAGATCAAATGTATTTTGATAATGATGTGGGCCACTGGCTTGGACATTTGTTTAGTATGAACTCACCTCAAAATATGGAAGTTTAAAAAAACTGTTGGTCACCAACTCCAAGTTATGACTTAACTAAGGATGCTGTGCAATTAAAAAGAAAATTTAAATACAGCTGCTTGGTGAATTATGTTCCTTGGCTGGCGTATTCCAAGAAATTAAAGGGCGCATTGTGCATTAACTGTGTGTTGTTTCCACCAACTAATGTGCATGGTGTTTTGGGTTCTTTCATAGTGAGGCCCTTTACTCACTGTAAACCATCCAATTACTCACAAATTTATTCCCAATATTGAACTATTTCTCTCAAACAATTGGTACAAACCATGTCATCGTATGTCTCAATTTTTAACAAATCATGGCAGGTTCCAGTCTTACCTGGCCAGATTTATTGGAGCTGCAAACTCTGATTGTCCTCTTTGTGGTGTGGATGACAGCTCGGATCATTATATCTTCAACTGTCCTATGTTGGATCATGAAAGGCACTTCCTGCGGTCCTCCATGGAGGCGCATGGATACCGCTGGCCCAATGAATCCCACGGTATCCTGGACAATAAAGACGCCTACGAGGCCCTCACAAGGCTCATCAGTGCATACTTTCATCGCACCACCGTTCCTGGATACAAATAACCTTTCTCATTATCTCATTAACGGTGTTGTATTGTCTTATTTTTATTGCTACAGGTACTATTACTTTGTAACACACTGTTTTCTTTTTTTTTTATAATTTCTTAACGTATTATATGTTTTGCTTACTGAATTTTATATTATTGTTTATGTATTTTAATTTTCTCAAATAAGTTATTGTAA